GGGGTAAGCTTTCACCTAGTGGCCATGAATTTTTGAATTTCCTGTTCTTCCCCTCTATTGTTAAATATTTTTGTGGCCGTCTCCACTCGGAGCACTTCTGGCCCACCCTGTAACTTTTGGAGTTTTTTCAGATGTCCAGGGCAGATTGGGAGATAAAATGAAGGTGAAGGTAAAAGCGGCCTTTATTAGTCTTAGGGGTGAGGTAGGTGTACTAAGTATTGCCTCCGTTTATCAGTGATAAAAGCCAGATAGCTTTCATCTGGCCCCTGAGTAATTTCCTTAATCTTTTCATAGTTGATTGCCTTTAGAGCGATTTGTCCATTCCTGCCTGGATAGAGGTTATCATTTGCCCCTTTCTCAGATCCTGGGAACCCCCCCCCACCACACACACACACACACAGTGCCAGTGAGGATCTTCCCTGGGACATCAACTGTCCTGATAGAATTATGGTTAGCATCCTGTTGGTGATGAGTGTCTGCATAGGCTTGATGCAGATGTGGTCCCTATCCTCAAGGGAAAGGGTGGAGGAGAGGATGACATATATGATACCAGGTCAGATCATAGGACTGGGTCATACAGAGGAATTCCGATATGTGGTGGGATCCAACAAAAAGTAGCCAAGGCGCTTTTCAATTGGTGATCATGGATGAGACCTTCCACCCCTGCCACCTCGAGGAGGGAATGACAGTGGCTGGGTCTGAAGAGGAGGGTGCAGAGAGCAAGTTCAGGTGTCGAGGAAGAAAGAAGAGGGAATAGGGTAGAGGAGGAATAGAGTTGGGGGGCAGGTTGGGGTACACAGTGAAGAAGAATCTCCCCTGCAGTGTCAGAATCAGCAAAAAGACGGTTCGGGAGAAGGATTATTTGGTGGATCACATTAGAGGGCTTTTCGTTTAGGAGGAGGAATGGAAGGAGTTACAAGACTGACAAAGGGAAGGTTTTGAGCAGAAATAAGCCAAAGCCTGTATGTAGGGACTTCGGACCATCTGTCATAGCGTTGGAGAAAGTTTTTTGAGATGGCATGAATCTGGAAATCAAAAGTGCCCTGTTCAGGCCAATGCCCACCATTGTCTAATTTATACTGGGGCTAGACCATGTTACAGTAGAAAATCAGCTATTTTGGTTTGATGGTCTCCTCGAGACCCAGGGTCTGAAGCGTTTGGAGGGGACATGCCAGTGGACTGTCCCACAGGGACTTGGGCAATTTCTGGCCCGTGTTTGTGGAAAAGGCAGTGAGTAAGCTCCACAGTAGTCCAGAGCAGGAGCACCTTACTGCCGACTGATCGTCTGCGATATGGCTCTGAGGCAGTGCTCCTGAATTTTTCCTGAGCAACCCCAGGAAATAACAGGCAAATCCACCCAGCTGATGGACAGAGGGAATCTCTCACTTGGTACCAGGGCTTCATCGTGGTCCACTGAGGACAGGCAGTGAGAAAGGAACCCAGGAAAAGGGGAAGTCAGCAAAATTGAAGTCCGGTGTTGGACGGAGTGGTCCCTGATGGCTCAAAGAAAGGAGAGGAGGAAGGAAAGGGTGGGAGAGAGAAGCAACAAGGAGTTGGAGAGATAATTAGTCTCCACTCACGGTCTGGGATTTAGCCTGGGAAGAACTGCCACTGCCCACTGCTTCCCAGGTTGCAGGAGCAGAGAGCTGAGAGTCGAACCTGCGAACCCCAACCCGGGTTTCAACACGAAGAGGTGGGCGAGGAACTGGCTTGACATCAGCACAGGCAGATGGCAGAGCCCACAGCTGCTTACAAACGAGGTTGGAGAAGTCCCAGGGAGGTCACTTGAGCTAAGAGAGATAAGTGGTAGTAAGGTTCTGTCATTCTTTGGAGCTGGGTGGGGATTTGCAGTAAATTGCTAAAGTGGGTGTTTGTTATTCTTTAGAATCGGGTGGAGAGTTTCCATTAAGCCCCCCCTGTGAGTGGGAGGGGGTCCAGTCCTAATGTCGCTGCCCTGTGTTCACCCTGACAGTTATTATGCTTCCCAAATGAAATTTAAAGATTCAAACTACTCATCATGAATCTTTTGGAACTTCAAGTGAAAAAGCAATGTTTACTTATGCTCTAAGGTCTCTTCATTGTTATATAATAATATAAAAATTTTGAAGAACTTTAAAAGACTTGTTAAATTGCCAAGTTTCCAAATATCTTCAGGAGCAAAACTGCAGCTAATTTTAGTATACTTACATTGTCACTCAGAATTATTTCTTTCTTACCAAAGCATTAGAACACCAAATAACACTTAGTTATGTCAACTAGAATGTATAGATAATTATACGTGGAGATAACCAGAAATCAGTAATGATGTCAATATCCAAACAAGTGAGACTAAAAATTCCAGATTGACTCTGCCTGATGCCAACCTTAATTCTGGACAAAGGAAACAATATGTGAACAGTTTGTTTTAAAGAAATAGTTTCCAGCTGGATGCCGGTGGCTCATGCCTGTAATCCCAGCTACTCTGGAGAGAGAGATCAGGAGGATCTCAGTTCAAAGCCAATCTAGGCATATAGTTTGCTGACCCTATCTCGAATAAACCCTTCACGAAAAAGGGCTGGGGGAGTGGCTCAAGATGTAGGCCCTGGGTTCAAGCCCCAGTACTGCAAGAAAAAAAAAAAGGAAAGAAAAGAAAAGAAAGAGTTTCTGGCCAACATTCTATCTGTCTATGCATGTAATATTATATATATTGACTTTAAGTTCTGCATTCTCACAAATGGCCGTTGTTACTGTTACAGAATGTAAACCCTGGCTCATAGTAAAATGTTATGTGGGCAGAAGAATTGCCCTGCTAAGACATTTTATGGTCATCCCCAGAATCCCTGAACATGTCTTTCATGGCAGAGGGAATTAAGGATACAGATGCAAGTGAGGCTGCTTATCAGTTGACTGTGAGATGGGGAGGGTATTCTAGATTGTCTGGAATTACACAAGTCCTTAGAAGCGGTAGAAGAGAGTCTTGGAGAAATGACATCCCAAGAACTCAACCTACACTTGCTGGCTTTGAAGACAGAAGGGTCCTCAGCTACTTGCCTGGCCTGAGTGTTTGGGTTTTAAAACAGCAGGGCTCCCTTGGGGGATTTGAAAAGCTGATGCCTAATGAAGTTGAGATACTGCTTATTAGTATTCATCTGATGCTTTTTCCCTTATGTACTTGAAGATGTTCCCTTGTTTTCTGGCTTGCATTGTTTTCCACAGAACTCTTATCACCCTGATCTGTGTTCTTCTGTACAAAATGCCTTTTTCTCTGGCTGCTGGTAAGGTTTTCTCATTATTGCTAGTGTTGAGCAATTTGGTGTGATATGCCTAAGTGTATTTTTCTTCAAGAATCTTGTTTAGGATTTGTTGATATTCTTGAATTTGTACATTCATAGAAAACGTTCCATATAATTCATGTTTTCCCACCCACATCCCTTCCTCCAGAACTCCAGTTATACATACATTAGGCCCCTTGACATGGTCTCATGGTTCTCTGGTGTTTTATTTGTTTGTTTATTTCCTTATTTTTACTAGAATTGAACCCTGAGCCTCACACACTACCACTGAGCCACACCCCCAGCCATTTTATTTTTCCAGTCTATTCCAGGCTATATAGTCATTACCTGGGAATCATTTGCTCTTGTTCTTATTTTAAGTTTTGTTACATGGCAACACAATGGCCTTTATCATTTTTCCCAATTACTGAGACAATATTCTTCGAATTACCATCTCTGGTGGTCTGTGCAATTGAAGATGTTCTCTCTGTGGTTGGTGGGATGCTATTCCAGGACCAGTGTGAACTCTGGGTTCTTTCCCTTGCCTGGGGTAGTGTCCTCATATGGGAGCTAAGACTCGAGGGGATCTTCTGTAGATCTCCCAGGGTTATCCTGCCTAAGATTCAAAGAGGGCTAGCCATGTCGGGAGAATTTCCCCAGCCCTTAGGACACTTGAAGTCCTGTGTACCGCCCCCCAGCCTGTGTTCAGAAGGATGGGTGACCACCGTGTCTACGCTCTCCCCTCTGAGCACAGCAGCAGCATCCTAGCCACAAGCTCTGTTGGGCCTCACTGCCTTTGCAGTGAGGAGAGTTGTGCCTCCAGTAATATGTGCTGGGCGCAGGCCTGAGACGCTTCGCCACAACAGATGGACAAGGCCACGGCACCAGGCCAGTGGTTCTTCTCCCTCTGTCATCTGCTGCATTCCTTGCAGAGAACACGATCTACTCATTTGCTAAGAGTTCCCCTTGGAACTGGCTGTCACTGCATGGTGAAATGCAGCCCCCAGTGAAGCCTTGAGACCAGGCTCAGCTGCCCTGGGCTCTTTATCCCCAGATCAGACCTCTCCCAAAACCACCTCCTGCCCCAGGCCTCACTGCAGCTCCGTGGTACCCAGGGAGCCCTTCTCATCACTTACACATCCCAATACCTCGAGACACCCCCCACCGTCCATCAGTTCTTTATGCAGTTGTCCCCAGCGACCAACCTCAACTCAAGTCTGTCGCCTTTCTACTCAGAGGCTCCTGTGTACCTAAGCGTGGGGTCAGAACTCAGAGACGCTTATGGCCTGCTGGCCTCCCTAGCCTCTTGCCACCCATCCCTAGTAGCAAGTGGTCTCTTTTGTCCTTTGAAAGAACCCTGCTCCCTTCAGCCTTGGGACCTTAGTGCCTGCCTGCCTGCCTGTCATACCACCTGGGCTTGTCCTGCAGACGCACGCGGGTCTGTCTTTGTCCCCTTTGGTTCCCCAGTGCCAGAACCGGATAGAAAGGTGTGCGTGGAGGGGCGACCCTCGCCATGTGCGGAGCCAGGCAGCAGAGGAGACCCTCCCCGGTTTGAAAACTGCATTCGTTGCGCAAACTCTTGAGGCTTCCCTCGGCGCCCGGGTGCGATGCCCGGCGTGGCAGGTGCGGCGAGGCCCCTGCGGGGAGCCGCAGTGGGCGGGGCCGCGCGGCCCCCGCCCCGCCCCGCCCCGCCCCGCCCCGCGCGTTCCGGGGCCGGCGGGCGGCGCAGTCCTCGCGGGGCGCGCGGCGCGGGCGGACTCGGCGACTCCGCTCCCTGCGCGCCATGGCCGCGGGCCTGTACGGCCTCCCGCGGCGCGGCCTCTGGCTGCTCCTGGGTGAGTAGAGCGGCGCCCCGCTGCCCGCATCCTCGAGGGACGCGGGGGACCGGGCGGCGCGAGCGCCCCTTCCCAGCGCGGGCTCCCCGCCGCGCGCACCGACCGCGTCCGGAACCGCGTCCGGAACAGCATCCCGGCGTCGCAGAGCCGGCGGCCGGCGGCACCGGGGACTTGGCTCCGCCGCACGCACGCCGGGGACCTCTTCTTCATGGAGGGACTTGGGGCGCGACACCCGCCCCGCACCGCGTTTCCAGCGCCCTGCAGACTTGGTACTCGGACACCACAACCGAGCCCTCTTATCCCCACTGTCCCTAGACAGGGAAATCTCGCCTCTTTGCACAAATGAGGCCGATCTCTCTCTTGTGGAGGACATCGGCACGGCCTTTTCTGTTTGCACGTTAATTTGGCACTTGTGGCTGATGCCCAACTCAGAGCGGGGCGGGGACCCTTGGTGAGAGGGCAGAACTTGCTGGGCCTTCGGCATTCAGAGAGAGTGTGGACTGAAACCCATGGGCGACCAGAACCCGCACAGATGCCGCAAGAAATTGTGCCTTCCACCTCCCTTGTCCGTAATGTCCTCGTAAATTGCCGAGTCAAGCCCCGTTCTAAGCTGTTTGAGCTTTTGGATTTATTTCAGATGTGTAGCACCTGGTATGAAATCCAGGCAGATTGGTTGGGGACCCCAGTGCCCCGGGGGGAGGCCTGCGGTTGTTTAGAGGTTGTTCTGGTCTTCACCAGATCTGTGATGTTGGTCGGAGGTGTCACTGCACAGACCCTGGTGCCTGGGGCTGGGACCGGTGAAGAGGTGACACTGGCACTGTTTTTGTAGCCAGGGAAGCAGCTTAGGGCAATGTGGCATGTCCAGGGAAGAAAAGAAGGCACAGTAAGGACAAGGGAGCCTGGACCTCTCAGGTCCCCTATTTGTAAACCTCTCCAAGGAGTGAGATCTGGGTAAAACTCTAAGTCTGCTTCAGAGCACTGTCATCTGAGGGTGGACCTTGCCACTTTAGTGTTTTGGTTAGTTATGTGAAAAAAAAAAAACCTGTGGGTTAGGATCCATTTGGCTTGGTGTGGAAATTAGGTTTACTTTTCCTCAGAAAGGACCATTTATGTCTTTGTTAGCAAAGAGCTGTGTTGTGTGATTTCTTTTTTTTTTAACCTAATAAGCAAATAAGTAAATGTTTTTTAATGGTCCTCAGCAGCTTTAAAGGGTTATAAAGCTTGTAGAAATAAAACACAATGTCATGTCACATGTCACATATAAAGACCTTCCTTGTTTACTAAGATTCATGTTCTGCTGAATGTTCAAAGTCCTACAATCTTAACATTGTTCTGAGTGGCCTGGCTAATGTACTATCCGGGAAGAACAAACACACTTTGGAGGTTATCAGTGAATTAATGTCCTCGGAGCCCAGCTGCGAAGAACAGAGTCACTGAGCACACGCTGTTTTCTTTCCGAGCCAGATCTCCTTGGTGATGATGAGTTTGCTACCTAGAATGGCAATGTGGAAAGCTTTTTTTTTAAGTATGCTAGTCTACATGTTGAAGACTCTAACTGTGACAGTTTTACAATCAAGCTATTTTTCTTATTCAACCTGTTGGCTTTCTGGTAGCAGTTGTTAAAACCTCACTATACACATATGGTTCTTTTCTCTCTGAGTTTCCTGTGTTCTGTTTACACATGCATTCTAAACGTTTCATGTAGAGCCACGATAAAACTTTTCACCAGACAGAAAAAGATGTGTGCAGATCAACTAGGGTTATTCTTTGGTATCTGTATTGCAAGGTCCTATTTTTGCAAGCTTCATTTGAGTGTGCCAGCTGCTGCTGCTGCTACTACTGCTGCCATGGTCTGACTCCTTGATCATCAGTCCTGAGAAATGCATGCCTTTCTTGGCTGTCAGGCTGGGAGCCCAGGGGTTTCTTGAGTGGCTGTATTGTTTAGTGAAATACATGACTTTATATAACTACAAATGAAACTGGAACATCATAGGTAGCACAGTGTATGTGGTGGTGACACTGTTTTAATATGGGCATGACTCTCATCCTGGAGTCCAGATCCGAAGGACTCTCACTTGCTAGTCAACTCAGTGTGTTTACTGTCACTGTGTTCAGCTGCAAGGAGAAATTCCTGGATTTCTGTCTCCATTCTCCGGACACATCCATATTGTCAGTGCCTATTGTGAGTCGGCCAAGGCTGTAGAGAAGCATTTCTACCCAGGATGGACGTGGTGGTGTGCAGCACCATGGGGAACATCTTAGGTGGACTCCTTACTTAGTAAGGCAAGTGGCTTGTTGGAAGAGTCTCCTCTGATTTTCCCTCCAGAATTTCATAGCTTCTGATCTGTTAAAACTGGCATCTGGCAGAGTGTGTGACATGAGCACCACAAGTGGTGGGAATTCCAGTGGAAATTCTGAGCCTGGGGAGTGGTGCCTTGAGGGCTCATCCACCAAGGTTTCCTCCTCAGGCCCAGAGCCCATCCTATCTGAGGTTCCACGTGGCACGCTGTGCTGGTCCCTCGTGGGAACTGGCCCAGGCTGGCTTTGGGCACAGTCCCAGGCCAGACAGTCAGTGTTCTGCTGGCTCCGTGGGAAAGGATCCGAGTGGATCTAAGCGCTGGGCTGCCAGTATGCAGCCTGCAGGCCATGGGTTTGCCTACGTGTGACACAGGCAGACAGATGGACAGTGCTCCTGACACCTTTGTGTGCCTAAGTGGAGCCCATCATATTTGATCTTGGTGTCCGTCCCTCGCAGGAATGTCACCTGTGGACATCAGGGCTCAGGAGACTGTAGTGCGGGCACACCTGGGGCACTGGGGGAACATGGCCAGGACCTACCCTACTGGGGACTCAGGGTGACCTTCTGAAGAAGTAGGCACTGCAACAAAGAAGATGAGTAGAAAGGGGAAAGGGGAGGAGGAGAGATCTGACTGGAGTGGACCCTGGGGCTTCGGCACTTGCTATGGTCATGGCTGCCTCCCACCTCTGCACCCGAGTCTCTTTGTCATGAACAGAGACACAAAGATGTTGGAGAGGACCCTTGAGTGTTTGCCTACACACACACACACACACACACACACATGCATGTATACCACACATATGTACACACACACGTGCACATACATGTATACATAAGTACACATGCACATGTATATACCCGTATGCCACACACATGCACACATACATGCAAATATATGCACACACACGCAGGCCCTGGGCCCTCCTCCCTCCAGGACAGGATGCTCTCAGCCATGAGGAGGGGCCACATCAACACATCCCCATAGGCAGCGCCAGTCCTAAAGAAGGGCTTATTCACTTAGCATGGTGAACCTGAGGCCCAGGAAAAGGCTTTTCCTAAGATGGTGCTATTTCTGTGTCCTCTGCATCTTTCGGTGTCACCTTTACATCTTTAGCCTTGAGACTCAGCAGAAGGGTACAACAGTCACATCCCCAGCAGGGCTTCCCCCGCCAGCCACCCCCCAGTCCCGGACACTAGGTCAGAAACTTACGACTTTGCAGGGAATTGGTGAAACCAGCCACGGCCTGGAGCTGCCTCACTCACTCACAAGGGGCTGGGTTCAGCTGGCTGGGCAGTGTTGACTGATCCCCTAGACTATATCAGGGAAGGGTTATTCTGAGCCAAATTCTGCCTGAAGGGAAGTCAGTCATTTACCCGATGGAATAATTATTTGCCCAACAAGGCCATGGCACACTGTACTCTGTCCCGCCATTGGGCAGAATGAAAGCATCTCACCCAGCAAAAAGCGTCGTAGTGGAGAGGTCCCGGAAGCGTAGTCCCTCACCAGAAGCTTGAGGACGCCAGAGTGCACTGCCCGAGTTTCTCTGCTGCTAGTGGAGGCTCTGTAAAGGAAAGATGCCGCCAGTGGGCAGACCACAGAGGAGGGCACTTCTGTCACATAGCACAAGAGGGCTGGAAGCTGCACAGGCCATCCTATAGAGCAGAAGACATTTCCCACAACAGGCTGATCTGGCCTCTGTGCCAAGCTGGAGAAACGTGCCTTGCATCTGCCACAACTAACCACAGGTCACAAATATTTTTTAGGCCAGACATGGTGGGACATGCCCATAAACCCAGTAACTCCATCTGTACCAGACAAGTACAGGCTTTTTAAACTAAAGTCATTATTCCCTAAACAATATAGTGTAGTGATGCTGTTTAGCGATGCCTTAGAGTACCTGGGAGGTACTCTAAACCCTGCACGATTTTACATAAAGGGCTTGAGCATCGGTGAATTTTGGTTTCAGTGAGGCAGGGGGGAGTCCTGGAACCAATCTCTATGGATACCAAGGGACAACTGCCCATAAACAGTGCCATTGGCAAAATGAAACAGAGGAGACCTTTGGAGCAGAGCCCGGGTGGCGATGGAGTCTGAGCCCTGAAGAGTGTGAGAAGAGCACCCCAGAGCAAAACTGTTCACCCCATGGAAGAGAGGAGGCAGAGAGAAAGGGAGAGGGAGGCAGAAGGGCTGGAGAACCCTCAAGGGCTCCCCTGCCTTTAACCAGGCTCCACCTCCCAAACCCATCTAATTAGGAACCGCCACTGAGCTGATGAGGTCAGAGCCCTGGTGACCTGTCACTTCCCAAAACCCCACCTCTGAACACTGCTGCACTGGGGACCAAGCCTTTCCCACATGAGCCTTTGGGGGACATTCCAGATCCAAACCAGAACACACAGGTTTGCTACGTACATTTCCCCCTTGGGATATTTTCAAGGGTGAGTTTATCAGGACATACATAGTCCATCCTAAATCAGGGAACACCTATACAGGTGATTTTCTTATTTTGCTAATTCCCTCCATATTTTTAGATGCTTGCCGTTTTCAGTCCAATTTTGTGAATTGATATCGTCATGCTATTTTTTTGATCACAATGAGCAGTGGTTAATGGTATTAGTGCCCCTCCCCCCAGAGAACCAGTTCTGGGCTTACCTACTTTTCTGTTCTGCTTGAATGCCCACGTCCACTTGTCCTGTGCTCTCT